TGTCGGCATCAACAACTCTTCTATTATAAATCTTTAAAGTAAAATATGTTTTCAGGTGGAGACTTTTGTGCTCTCAATCGATGCTAAAAGTTGGAAATGGTCCTTGTATTAATGTTTGGAAAGATTCTAGGATAAATAATAGCGCTAATTTTAGAGTAGAACCTGATTGATCATGCATGACTTAAGAAAGCAGAAAGAAGATATTAATTATAAAGGTTTGTTTGCTCTTGCTCTTGTAGATGCTATAAGAATTTTAAGTATTCCTTTAAGTTTGAGGAACTGTAAAGATAAACTAATAACATTTAGAACCTAACGGGAGCTACTTGGTCAAATCTACTTGTCATGTAGCAGTTCACTTAAATACTCATTATGCAGATCATAAGGAGCAGGATTTTTGAAAATGCCTATGGAAAATGGAGGTCCCTCCAAAGGTTAAAATTTTATTTGGAGAGTAAATAGATATATATTAACCGCCAGCTCAAGCTTATAACATAGAGGAATACATGTTAACGAATGTTGTGCTTTCTGTGATCAAGCTGAAACAATTGTTCATGTTCTTATAGGATGTCATCATGTTGTCATGTACTTGTAATATTGATGCAAAAACTTTCGTGATCATGCATAGGTTGGGCTTTGGGATACACGATGAAAGAGGTCAATCGGTGATGGGTCTATCTTATCTTTTTTTCATGGTAATTATGAAGCAAGGATGCTAAAGCCTTGAGTTATGCGAGTAATTTTTCTGGATTAAGACTTGACAGCTTGCTGATGTCCAAATTGAAATAGATGCTCAAGAGGTTTATAGAACTTATCTCAAGCATGATTTTGATTTATCTGGGTGGGGTTCGGTGATTTTAGATCGTGTACAACTGAGTTCATGGAGTAACAACATTACTATTAAATAGATTAAAAGACAAGTGAATAAATTAGCTCATAAATTAGTTAGGATTGCTTGTTCATATGTTAGTATTCAAGTATTACATAAGCTTCCAAGAAATATAGAAGCTCTTATTAGAATGTTTATACTTATATAAAAAATAAAATTATTTAAATTTATAAACAAATACAAAATAACCAAATAAATTTTCATTTTATTCTATATAAATGTTAATTAAATAAATTGTTAGAAAATTTTGAAAAATACTTCAAATATTATAATTTTGAACTAAGTAAAAAAAGGAAAAAAAAATACTACAGTCCCATTGGTATCAAACAATATAACTTTAAACTAAAAATTTCACTTTTTTTTTACAATTTTAATTTTTTAGATTTTTGACTTTTTAAGTAAAGTGTATCATGCAGTAAATTATTTATTTAGATTATAGAATAATCTAAGTGATTACAAATTTTTGAAAATTAAAATAAAAAATTTTTAGTTCAGATTCATATTTTAACATTCACATAAACCTTAACCATCCTATGAATCGCTAATTTTGGTTCAAAATTTAAATCAACGATTTAGGTCCAATTTCAATTCATCTACAGTATGGTTTGATTCTGATTCGATTCTGATTTGATTCCAGGTCAAACCAAATAGGTGGCCATGCCTAGTTGGCTATAATGATATTTGTTTTTCCTCTCTTTTTATTTTTTGAGAAGAAATTGTAGTGATTGTTGAATATCTTCATAATCCTCTAATTTGGGTCAAATTGGTAAAGGAGTGAGAATAGGGTCTTCATTGCCAATGTTACTGTCTTTAGAAGCGAACAAATTTTGGAAAAATCGAAAAACCGTATCAAATCTATGTAGTTGGGTAAGAAATCGGTCTTGGGAAAAAATTTTGGTTAACCAAAGTTTTATACCCTATTCAATTATATAGAAGACTGCTCAATAAGAAGTCTTTTAACCTTGTGCGACCTGCAATCTTTCTAATCAAATTTTGCTATTCCTTGCTGTATGGTTCCTTTGGCGGCTTCTTTTTTTTCTTTTTTTTTTAAAAAAAAGGATTTGTAGAAAGTCGAATTAATCTATTGAAAGGATCTGCAGGTATTTTCCTCTAAAAAAATTTAATTTCTTTAAATATTGGAAAAAAAACACCCTCCCTAAATTATAGTGACGTTAACATATACATCCTTCTATGTTCTAAAATTAACACTGGTCTACTTAAATTTTCATTACGTCATATAACCATCTCCCTCCGTTCAAAATTAGCCTCATTTTCTATTATTCTACCTCATAAATTAAGGTAAAAAAAGAGAGAGAAAAAAAAGATAATTCTACAAAGTAGAACACTCAATCCTCCCAAAGCTTTACTCAGAATTCCTTGTTGATGATAAATTCCCATGCCCAAGATGCCAAGGACAAGAAAATTGAAGGAGGTATAGAAACATTTACTGGTTGCGGTGAGAAAGCTAGTGTGGGTAAGAAGTCAAACTGAAATAAAGTCAATTTTGCCTCTTATGGACAATTTACATAGACAATTTCAGTGGTTATGGAGAAGGAGTAGTGGGTAACAACATTAGATTCAAGATTTATGGAGAAGAAGAGACAAAACACTGTGTTGGCTCTACTTAGGACTTAATTGATTTCGCCACCTTTGTTTTAGGGCAAAATGTGATGGTTTGGACTACAGAAAACGTCAACGGGAAGAACTTACCTTCTATAACCTTAGCCTCCAATCGATGGTAATGACCTATGAAAATTGATGGAAATTGATGGTAGTGACCTATGGATGACCTATCGATGGTTTTGCTTTCGAAATTGATGGTAGTGACCTATGGATGACGAGCTTCGAAAATCGATGATAGTGACCCGTCAGGGTGGACTCTCTGTCCATGAGAAAGAGAGAGAGAAAAATTTTTTATCTAGGAAGGAGAGAGATATGAAGGAAGAGAAGCCATTAATGTATCGAGGGTTAGAATGGTTATTTCACTTGTCATTTACTGGAAATACAGTTAATTATGGACGGAGGGAGGTGATTGTGTGACGGAATAAAAATTTAGGAGGCGTGTGTTAGTTTTAGACTATAAAATGAGGTATGTATTAACTTTATTATAATTTAGGAATATGGATGATTATAGATCAGATTCGGATCGGATTACGCAAAAATCTATATCTGATCTGCGAAGATTTTCATATATCTATATCCATATCCGCTCCGCTCATATTCAAATTAGATCAAATGTCGGAGTGGAGCAAGTTGGATCGCATAACATAAAAGAAAAATAAAATGGAACAATAATTTAATAAAATTTATATTTTTTATTGTGCTTGAAAACATAAAAACTCCTAACAATAATTCAAAATATTGTATACTATGACAATTAAAAGAGCCTTTAAAATTTGTTAGGTGCAAAAGAAATTATGTTAGTGGTCGTAATGTTCAATTCATATTCTTTTGTTTGAAATAGAGATTGAAAAAAAATACGAAAAGAGTGAAAGAGTTGGAGATAATAATTTAAAATATAAATGGAAAAGAAATAAGGAAAAGGTGAATAAAGACAACTATACATTTAGAATTACGATAAAAAATTTTAAAAATATAAGAAAAAAGCAAAATTACCTTTCACGTATAGGATTATGTTATATCAATATCCGATTCATATCTGAATTTATCCTATTCATCGTTAAATGGATCGGAATTTATCTGCCGAGATATTTAACGGATCGGATCATTTGATCATCCTTAATTACGGAGGGTGTGTTTTTTCCTTAAATATCCAAAACTAAAAAGCAAAGAGAGTGACAATTATTATTAGGAGAAACTTATTCCATTGTTGCGGTATCCACAGACCCCATATCCTCCAATCACAGCTTACCACCTTCAGTCTTTCTCTCTCTCTCTCTCTCTCTCTCTCTCCAAGATTTAAGAATATAAAAAGGTTTGGATAATCGAATAATCGAACCTAAAATCATGCTTCAGTTTGGTTTGATTTTTATTCAAATGGTTTGGGTTGGTTATTGAAAATTAGAATTTTGGTTATTTAGCTTGCGGCTATGCACACCCTTAACTGTCTTGCGATGCTTTTCCTTTGCTAGAATTAAGTAATCTGTTTGCGGTTATGCACACCCCTAACTGTCTTGCGATGCTTTTCCTTTGCAGAATTAAGTAATCTTGCATGGCATATCCCACTAATTAACTTTGTATTTAAAAAAAGATATAACTAAGGATTAAAAATTTAAAATTCCTCATACATAGAAAAGTCTTTTCACCCTTAGATTCAAATATTTAAATATAAATTATTAGATTGGGTTTAACTAAATTACTGGTTACTTATAAAATAAGTCAAAAAAAATAAGATATTTAATTTTTTATGTATTATTTAATTGTTATTATTAAAAATAAAAGTAATTATATTTATTAGGTGAATTTTTGTTTTTAATTTATTGGAAACTTTTATAAGCCAAAATAATATTGTGGACATAAGGTAGTCATTCTCTTGACTCACCAAATTAGTGAAAACAACTGTGGTCAACAAGAGTATTCGAACTCGAAACCTCGCACTCCTCACATAAATGTCAAACCACCACCTAATTTAGCTATTGGATAGATTTAAAAACACCATTTTCAACACAAATACAGATAATAAAAGCACCACAAGAGAAATAAATAACTATCTAATATCAAATTCAACTATTCAACATAAATTATTAAAAATTTTCATAAGTAACGTTTATATTATTTTCAAAAAAAATCATTTTATAGAATTTACTTGTAGATTTTTTAAAATAAAATTTACTTTAGTTTAGAATTTCTTCATCTTATTTTGGAGTTTATATTATATTATGTAAAAGTTTATATAATATAAATTTTTGAAATATATAATCCGGAAATTTTTAACTAAATATATTTTTATAATTTTTCTAACTGAAATATGATATCATTTATATTCCAGATTCCTTAATTCATAAACTCCTCTTTTTAAAAGGAATAAATTTTGTACCCTTAAATTTCCAAAGGCACTTTATTTTTCTTTTATGTGGTTAATACTTTTCTTGTCCTACACAAATTCTTTCCTTGCTCTCATTAGTAACGCATACACGTTAAATACTTTGTACATTTTGATCTCATCCTCAGCTATTTCCTTTTAATTCTCACATTCATCATCTAGTGTCGCGCTGCCGGTCCCGGAGGATTAGACGGAGGGTGTAACATTATGGGTGTTGTTGGAGTCATTGCAAAGCGTTTGGATGCCCTTGTCGGGTATTTTCTTTTACTTTTGTTGTATATTATGGATTATGCCTTTTCTCATAAAACTCAATTTTCAAGAAAAAATAAATTTATGAGATTCATTTGAAATTTAGATTCTTTTTTTAATTTATGAAATTGATAAATTTTATATATTATAATCTTAATTCTAACATTTTCTATCCGGTTTTTTTATTAATTATAGGATTTAAACAAATTAATTCATTTCAAATACTCTTCAAAATCATAGATTTTATTTTTAATTTAATTACGGAATGTAAAATTCTATGTATAGAGTTCATATTTCATTAATCTGATGACCATTTTATATTTGATATTTCGTATGTATAAAAATATTTATTTTATTCGTATGGATTTTTTTCAATAAATTTCAATGCATAAATGAAATTATAATTGTAAATAGATTATACACTTACAAATTCATTTATAACATATTATGATTTTTTTTATTTTCATGTCTAATTCCAAATTAAGCTCTTTTATTTTAATGATAAGTTTATTTAATTTGTATTGAACCAGGCCTGGAATAATGCTTCTTTTCCCACTGTAAGTAAACTAATAAGATTTTTATTTATTTAATTTAGATAAGTGAAGTTTATTCAGGAAAAATATATTTCTTTTATTTATAAAAAGGTTTATATTTCTTTAATTTAGACTAATGAAATTTATTCAGGAAAAAAATATAGAGAATTATTAATTTTTGTTATAAATGAACAGATATGCATCACTGAGAGCTATTGAAAGCCCTTCAACACTTGATGACCAGCAGTGGCTAACCTATTGGATAATTTATTCATTGATAACCCTATTTGAGTTATCCTTTTGGAGAATCCTTGTTTGGTATGCTCTTCTTCTTTCTTTATTAACATTAATTATGAATAAATTAATATAAATTCTCTTGATATATATATATATATAATATTGGTTCATATTGCTTCAAAACTAAAATTTCAGTCACTAAACCTAATGTATATTAAGAATCTATTCTTACAGTATTAGAAAAATTATGAATTTTTGAATTCTTTTTAAAATTATAGTAAAATTATATTAAAATTCTTTTTTGTTAAATATAAAAATATATAAAACCGATGTAAGATATGCTTTATAAGCAGATTCCACCTCTTCCTCCAAAGAAGGTAAAGATTGTATTTATATGATAATTGGGGGATTCATAAATATAAATTAATAGTAAACCTTTTCTTTCATTATAATAATTTTGTCAATGTTCAGAAAATATTTTTCTCTTTAAAAGGGGAAAGTGCTTTTTTTTTTTCATTTATTTTCTAAGTACCCCGATACTATTTTCCGGGACAATAATTTCCTGGAAAATATTCTTAAAAACAAACAGAGATCATATATGCTTAATTCTTCTAATTGTTCAATACATAACAGTAACCTGCATTTATTCGACAATTGAGGGATTAGTAAATATGTATCTATAAGCCTTTTCCTTTATTATAATAAAATTTTCAATATTTAAAAATATTTTTCTTTTTAAAAAGGGACGTGGTCTTTTTTTTAAATGAATTACTTAATATAAAACTATTTTTTCTGAGTGTCCCAAAAATATTTTCTGGCACAATATTTTCCAGCAAAATATTCTTAGGAAACAAACATACTTGTATATGCTAATTGTTAAATATATATGTAATATGTATCAGGCTTCCTTTCTGGCCATACATAAAGCTTGTATTTTGTATGTGGTTGGTGCTGCCTATTTTCAACGGAGCTGCGTATATTTATGAGAATTTGGTGCGGAAGTATATTAAGATCGGCGGCAGAGTGGACGGAAACTATACGGAGGATCAAAAGAAGGTTCTTCAAATGATGAGTCTCGACGCAAGGAAATCAGTTGTGCAATATGTTGAAAAATATGGATGGGATGCTTTTGAGAGAGCTATCAAAGCTGTAAGTAGCTAATTACCATATATTTATTGCCAAAAATACTTTTTCTGAAAAATCCTTTCAATTTCTCTATTCCACACAAATCACTACTTTGATTTAGCTGGTGTTTGTTTTAATAGAAAAAATTAAAAATTTTCCGGCTGGGTTTAATTTTATCATGTATAACAAAAAACATAAGAACTCTATATTTTTATTATATAAATTTTTAATGATCAACTGCTTACCTCTAATTATTTAAGGTAGTTGATTTGTCCTATTCTGTTTATTTATCTTGATTCTGCTCAATATATATATATTTTTTTTTTTGATTCCAGGCTGAAAAAGAAGCAAAAAGGCACTAACTGGATCACAATTGTCAGATATATTATGTTTCTTCCCAAATTCAAAGAAAAAAAATGTAAATTTCATGCATATGTATATGAAATAGAAAGCAAATATAACCTAAATTATTATGGATATGGAAAAAGAAATAGAAAAAAAAAAAACTCTATATTTTTTCATTCTCCTGTTGTTATGGTATATTATTAATGTGTAAATTAATGGTACTTAATACTGTATATATACATATATTCACCTATGGAAAAAAGTAACCTAAAATTTCTATTAGCGGACGATTTGGAAGATGTAATCGGAGAGGGTGTATGGTTAGGTTCCATTTGTATACTTGGAGGAATCTATCACATATATCTTAACTAAACCCTTTGCATGGGCTCACCGTGCACTTGTATAATCTGGAGAGAATTATTCGTCTTATAGTTTAGGTGTTGTATCCGATTTTAGTTTCATTGCTTGTTTGCTTTGTCTGGTTCAATAATACCACTTCTCCTAGTGAGTTCTAGGGGTGTACCAAACCAGAAGATTCTCAAGCTTAAACTTTTATTTTTCTAGTTAGAGATCGACGTCTTGAGGCTAATGTGAGATCCGCTCAGAGACCTATCAGGTTAAGTAAATATTTAATGCGTACATATACTGGAGATGTTATTTTTGAAGGAGAAACTATGTATTTTTGGAACCTAATGTGATCTTTGGTTAGAATCTCTAAAAGGTCCAAAATGGTTTGGACTTGAGTAGGTTGAAAAAAGATATACAACCTTAGCAAGAATGTCATTTTGCGAAATATATGACCAATGCACCTTTAGGTTCTTTGGATTCTATACTTGGAATAGCTATCCAGATAATTGCAGTCAATTATATCTCTCATAGAAATTAGTTAGCCACCTCTCATTTTGTTTTAGGGTTCTTCTTATTCGTAGGTTAATAAGATAAGTGTCTAATAAGTTATAATAAACTCAAACAAAAACACCTTTTATATAAAAGGTAGTGGCCAAGGAATAAACCACTCTAATCAGAGTTTGTTAATGGCAGAATTAGGTGTGGTATTATTATGGAAGGTTCATTTTTTCCTGCTAAAGTTAATGTTGTTTATTTGAATATTGATAAGGCAAGCCTAGTAATTATCTCCACAAATTAGGGAGTTAATTCAAATGTTTATGAGATAAAAGGGAAATATTGGAGCTAACAGTGGGTTAAACTTGATTTCCTTAGAAGACAATAGTAATAAAGATCTTAAAATATTAAGAACGTCTCTTGTGCTAACGTGGATTATGACTGATTTGTCATATAAAGTAAAAGGTGTGAATGGCAATGTGGTTGAATGTCTATTTAATTTATAGATGTTAAATTTTTAAAATCTCTTTCCAATATGTTTTGAATTTCTTTCATCATCTTTTTCTTTACTTTTCTTTTTTGGTCTCACAAAATTTAATATCCAACCAATAACTAAAGAGTAATAAATCTTAATTTTGTCTAAAAGATTCTCTAGAAGTAGAAAGTGTGGTAGAAAATGTCTATTTTATTTTTTTTTTTTTTTTGACACCTCAACTTGATGTACCAAATAGACATTAACATTGAAGATTATTTTTAAAAAAATCTTTCTATTTTTTTAGTATGACAATTAAATAAAAATAATTCACATTAATATTCAAGAGATGTGGATATAGTTTACCTAAGGGGTTATAATGGTTGAATAAAAAAGGCGTGGATTCGGAGAAAGAAAGCGAGTCTGATGTTAATGGGCTTGTGGAATCAAATGTTAGATAGCATTAGTAATATGGATCCGAAAAAACTTGATATTGGTGAGATCTAGTTCCCAAGCCCACTATAATGTAATGAGTACCATAGGGCCACTTTCTCTTTTTTTTTCCCCACTTTCTCCGCTTAACCATAAATTCAAGGGAAAATTATAGTAAAATACAGCTAATTCGTTTTTGTGTTTTAAGAAATAGACTAAAATATTTTTATAGTTTACTTCTTTCAGACTATGAGCTCATCTCATTCAATTTTTGCATCTTTCTGTTAAATACCTTATGAAATGATGAAAATACCCATTTTAGTTTATAAAACACAAAGATGAATTAATTGTATTTTTCAAACTATAGGGACTGTATTGTAATTTTTCTAGTATAATATTTTATTATATGTCCTTTTACCTCTGTGTGTTTCTTATTGACTTAATGGAAAAGATACAAAAATTAGACAAAAGGAGTTAACACGGAAGTAAAATATAGAGACAAATTAGTATATTTTAAAAAAGATAAGGACGGATAGTTGTATTTCACAAACTACAATGATCGGATTGTAATTTTCTCTATACTCAATTGTTATTGTATTATTATTCTAAAAAAAATTGATAATGTATTATTATTTTACCTATCATTTGAAATAATATATTCATCATGATTTATCTGGTAATACCTCAATAATCAATACTAACTTTTGATCACTTTAGGTAGAATGCCATGAAAGTTAAAATTTCATTTTATGGAAGGTACACGATTAAATCCGACTAATAATTTTTTTTTAACCAAAAGATACTATCATTAACACAAAATACCGTTATAAAGAAGCGCATAAAGCTCAAACACAGAGTCCTACAACTTAGAACATAGCATAGGGCTCAGAATAAAAAACACAGAATTACAACAGAAAACGGTAGATATATAAAATATAAACAGTCTTCTGATAATATATGAAAACCCATATATAAAGCCAGCACAAGGTGGCCTTCAAAAGGAAGGAGAGGTAAAAGCCGACATTATAGATCCAATATCTAGCCAAAACACTAGTGGATCAATTGGAATAACCTTGATACTAGATAGGCTGGAGCAAGATTCCAAAACCAACTGCTCGTAGGCGGCCAAAGGGCACACTTTAATGAGTATATAAGACGGACCATGCAAAGATTTTTTGACTCCCGAGTAAATCGAACAAAACCTTACAGATCTAGTGCTCTTTCCATCTTCAAGCCCAAAAATGGAATATTTGAGTGCTGAAGCAACAAAAAAGACGAAAAAAAGACTGTAAAAGATAAATGGAAAGAGAAGATATGCACTGCCGCCAGCCAGAAAGTAACCAGCGGCAACCCTCGGGAGAAAAGGGGCTAGAGTTATGCAGAGACAAGGAAGGGTCGAGAGTTTAATATTAGCATTATCGACTAATAAAATTACTCAAATGCAATAGGCCTATAATAAATTACTAAGCTTTGAACTAATATATGTGGACTAGTATTTGAATTGAAGTATATTTTCCCTGTTTCATTTTGTTTGTTTGTTATTCCTTTTTAAAATGTCTCAAAATGTTTGTAAGATTTCTAAATTTAGACATGTAAATAATTATTTTTCTCATAATAATCTTTATAATTGTTCATTGAACGAAGAACTTTTAGTACCTTAACGAGTTATTAAGGATAAAAAATAGCAAAATAACTTTTGTTGACTAAATTATTAATTATGCGTGTTTTGTCAAACAATGCAAATAAAATGGGACGGAGGGAATAAATCTTATATTTAGGCATGTCTATAAAATTGCTTCCTAATTAAGTATTTGAACAAATAATTTTCATACAATTAAGAGTATTTAACCAAAAGTTGTAATTATAAGTTCAAAATAAACTATTTTCTCCACTTTATTTATTTTTATAAATTATTGTTACTTTCCGAAACTAATTCACCAAAAAAAACAAGAATTCTTACTTGAGCTAACTCACGATGAGATTAAACAATCGACTTATCTTTGATAGAATCTTTCTTGGCCACCTCTTTGAATTTGAGGACACCATCATCAACACCTCTACCATTCTTGTTTGATGATTCAAAACAAGGAAAGCGCCCACCCATATCATTAACATTTGCTTGTGCCTATATGGTTTCTCTAACTTTAAGATCTTTTACTAGCCATTAAAGGGAAAAATTGAGAGAGAAAGAGAGAGAGAGAGAGAGAGAGATCTACAAATAGAAGAAACTAATGTGGAAACAAGCAAGAAGAGAAACTAAAGAAGAATAAAGAAAGAAAGAAACTCTAATCAGGTTTATATCTGACTAGTCATCGACATGCGTTTTGCATGTATATGAATTTTTCATTATTATTTAAAAATATCAATGACATATTGATAGAGGAAAGAACAACAAGCTCTTGAAAGTAAATAAATATTTGTAGACAAATATGAATGAAAGGAAGATTTTGTATTAAAGGTGAGATGAAATCCACAAATAGCAGAATCATGGTTATAGCAATCTTAGTAGCAACAATGGAGAAAAAATAATTAGAACAAAATAAAAGGAAATCTTGATTCAAAAGAACCAAGTCAAGAGCAAAAGCTCTCCAACAGAATTTCCCATTATAACTGACTGTGACAGGTGTCCCGTTTTCATTCCTTGAATCATTCCTCTGATTTCTTGGATCATTAACCAAACAAGCAGTAGCATTCGGCCTCCTTGAGTAAACTTTAAAGGGCCTGGGCTCATTTCCATCAATACTTCCCCCTAAATTAATAGCCTTGTCCTCAAGGTTGTAATATGGAAATTGCCCAATGAAGTCAGATGCATCTACCCAAGTGGATTCTTCAGCTGAGTGACCTGTCCAGTGAACAAGGAATTGTTTGATGTTGTTATGGTCTTTAATGACATGGCAAGTTTGCAATATGGCAATAGGTTCCACAACAGGTTCTCCAACATCTTGCAGTTGTTCGGGCAGTTTGGTGACCACTTTGTGCTCCCCCACGACTCTTTTCAACTGAGATACATGGAAGACCGGGTGTATTCGGGAGGATGGCGGTAGGAGCAGCTTGTATGCGACGGCTCCCACCTTAGCAACAACCTCGAAGGGGCCGTAATAGCGCATTGTAAGTTTAGCATTAACCCTTGCGGAAACTGATTACTGCCTATAGGGCCTGATTTTAAGGAATACCTTGTCATCAACCTGAAAGTGTACATCTCGCCTATGGCGGTTGGCATACTTAGTCATCAAGTGCTGAGCCTTTGTAAGGTTGAATTTCAGTTGGTGAATGATCTCATCCCGGTCTTGACCCTTACTTCCCCTGGTAGGTGTTG